GAGACACTCGAGGTAAAGGGTTACAGAGTAATACGCACAGCGTCTGCGGGTATAAATGCAAAATAACGGTTAACCTTAGACTTGAACAGGTTAAGCTTGTCGGGATCGGGATAAGAACCTCTTAGGAGTCGATTCTACAGCTCAGTGCTCCACGGAAAGAAACTGCTCTAGATCCTTGCTTTGTGTCTGGTAGAACATGAAATTGTCCTCCATTACAATCAGGGGGATCATGAATAGACCATGAAGGCAGAAGTCCATTATCTGCAAAATGGTCGCTTAAATTAAGGATTACGTAGAAAGTGCTCTGATTGGTTAAACAGAAAATTCTATTCTCCAGTACGAAAATGAAAAGACAATACCTTCAAAAGGGTCGAAGGTAAAATAAAATGCTTTGTATGGAATGTTCACCAACCTCTCAACAGATTTAGCGCGCACAGAGCCTCATTTTTTTTCCGATCACCTATCATAAGTGAAAGAACATTCAAAAGCAAATAATTTATAATCAGTATTTCAAAATGTTTCTTCTGTGTTGCTATCTACTAATGAAGTGAGAATGATTCTAGTCAGGTAGAAACTGTGTTTACGCTAATATTTCCAATTGTTAAACTCAATTATCCTTGGAAATCTCTATTGATAACATCACGAATTTTATTAACGTCCGAACATTAGATGACTGCGTTGTGTAGCAGTTAATTGTATGGAAATTTAAATAGGCATATTAATATATTTACGCACGCAGACGCACACACATACACACTTTCTCTCTCATACACACACGCACACACACACACATACATACACACATATATATATATATATATAGAGAGAGAGAGAATGATAGTGTGAGAGAAAGAAAGAAAGAAAGAGAGAGATATAAAATATATAAAAAAAAAAAATGAAAAAAGTTGATTTTTTTTTTCATCTTTAGCTTTCAATCTATATGGTCACAGGATGCTTTTTTTTAACCAAAGCAACACAGAATTATATATATATATATATATATATATATATATATATATATATATTAAGCATTTCACCCCAAGGAAGGCGGGAAGCCACTAGGACGCAAGGGGTTACAGAAAATATAGAGAGAGATCAGATAGGAGTGATAGAAGAAAGGATGAGGAGAAGGGTAGTGGATAGATTAAGGCAACAGGAGATGTCGATTGACATTACATTTGAATAGTTGGAGATTATAGCTCCCAGGGAAACTGGAATAGGGAAGGGAGTTCCACAGGCGAGAGATGCGAGACATGAAGCTATTGGAGTAGAAGAGACGGCTACATTTAGGAGTTTCGACGGTGAAGAGGTGAGAGCGGGATGCCATCCCCGTAGGGCGCTTGAACTCATTAAGTCTAGGAACCAGCGAATGCAGCTCCTCGGAACAATTACCATGAAAGAATTTGTAGAACAGACAGAGAGAGGCGACGGCGCGTCTGTGAGAAAGTGTCTGTAGACGAGACGCCAGGGCAGGGCCAATTATATTGCATATCCATATCTGGAGCCTATCAAGAACCCCGAGGCACCAGACGATATATGGCAGCAATACTCCATGCAAGGGCGACTTGTTGATTTGTTGATCTGGAGGATCAATTCCGCGGAGAAAAATTTCCTGGCGTGGCGCAGGGAGCCAACTTTCCTTGGGGTGGACGAAGCAATTGACTGTATTTGTTCCATCTCAGGTCAGCAGTCAACGTGAGACCGAGAATCCGTAGAGAGTTGCTCTCGAGAAGTTGAACGTAAGACATTCTAATGGAGGGCAAGGAAGGATCTCTGTGGGGATTAATAGAGAGCAGTTTTGTTTTTGAAGCTTTAAAGTTGACCAGCCACTTCCTGTCCCAGTTGAAAACCGATTGGAGGTCCTTTTCGAGACACTCGGTCAGGTTAGTTTTGTCAGTGACACTAGATTTGTTTTTGAGGCAGGATTAAATTGTGGTGTCATCCACGTAGATGCCAACTTGGGAAGTTATGGCATCAGGGAGGTTGTTTATGTAGATAAGGAATAGAGTGGGGCCTAGGATGGAGCCTTGAGGAACACCTACGTTCGTGGGATAGGAACTAGAGGAGAATCCGTTGAGAACGACCTTCAATTCAAGGTTTGACAGGAATGATTGTATTAGGTCAAAAAATCGACCCGTAATGCCATAACCCTGGAGCTTGCGTAGAAGGCCGGCATGCCAAACCCTATCAAATGCTTTGGAGATGTCTATTGCCACGGCACGAGCTTCCCCGTTATTTTGAAGAGCTCGGTAGACAGTTTCAGTGATGGCCGTAAGCACATCCGCTGTAGATTGGGCAAAGCGGAAGCCATATTAATTGTCTGAGAGCAGATCATGGGATGTGAGGTGGTTAACGACCTCGGTATTAATTAGGGCTTCGAAGACTTTGCCGAAGAGGGGTAGGAGACTGATAGGACGGTAGTTAGAAGGGTCAGAGGGGTCGCCAGATTTCTTGAAGATAGGAACAATCGAAGAGGACTTCCAGCAGTCCGGAAAAAAGATTCCTTGAGGCAGTAGTTGTATAGTTTAGAAAGGGCTGGCGCTAGTTCAGGCGCGCATTTCTTCAAGACAATGGCTGGTATCCCATCTCCACCACTAGCTTTGTTTGGGTCTAAATTGGAGATAACGCCCAATACCAGAGACGGGGTTATATGTAGCCCACTCAATAGAGCCTCGGTTCTAAGAGGGAAGTCGGGTATGAGTACACTGGAAGAGTCGAGCGTCGAGTTGAATGAAAATTTCCAAGCAAAGCATTCAGCCTTGTCGGCAGAGGAGGTCAGAACTTCGAACTGGTTGAATAAAGGAGGTATAGAGGGTTTGCAATTGTTCAATACGCTCTTGCAGAGACGCCAGTAATCTTTGGAGCCAAATTTGCGAGATGCAATACGCTCCTTCATCCGAGCCGCAAATAGTGCCTTAGCATCGTTGAGGACACGCTTACACTCGTTACTTGCGGAGGCAAACAGACGTCTATTGCAGTCAGACATGTCGCTACGGAATAGGTGAAATATATATATATATATATATATATATATATATATATATATATATATATATATATACGGTGCGATAGATGAACTGTCGCCATTTTATATTTCATATTTTTAATTTTGCGCATGCGTGTTGTTTGTTTTTGATTTTATCAATTGCACAGTACAGACGGGTGAGATGGACATCTTCGGTAAGATAAAGAGAAACATGAAACAATTCACATCACCATAATTTGGAAACAGGATGCTGTTCTGCTTGGCATTTGTGCCGGAAGCTCTAATACGAACATTTCAGAGTGTATGGTTATCAATCTGAGGATACTGCAGAGGATTCGGAAAGAATTGGATTAGTCTAAGTTGATTAAGAAGATATAGCAGCGCGGAGAACTCACGATGATCGTCCTGGTTAGAAAAGAACTCCAGAATTTGTTGGTGAGGACCTCAGACCCAACACGGAGGCCTACATCCAGTACGTTGAGGTGGTTGTGCTACCCTGCCTCAAGAGGGTGGATTCTGGAAAAACTATATGTCTGGAAAAGGGACTCTGCCCCATGCCACACAGGCATGAAAACACAGTCATAGCTGTAAACATCACCCCTTACATTCTGGCCACCTAACTCCCCATCCTGCTCCCACCTTGATTAGTACGTGTAGAGCTCAGTTGAGCGACACACAAACAAGACACCATGTAACAACAAAGATGAACTGAAGGCAAGAATTATGGCGGCATTCACCAACTTAAACAAGGAGAGTTTCCAAAAGAGTTGCAGGAGATTCAGAAGTCATCTGAAAACTGTGTTTTTGCGTAGTTTTGGTAAATATATTTGTTAAAATGAGATGTCAGTGTTATTCACATTTTTGCATAATGTAGAGGACAATTTACCGATCGTACCATATATATATATATATATATATATATATATATATATATAATCAAAGATATAGTTTTAAGTTATGCTATGTTTATGGTTAAAATTGCTCAATATCAGGGATAGAGCAGAAGTACATATAAAATGAGGTAAACACCGGAAATGTCTTAAAAAATAATTGTCGGACTTTGTCCATTTCATAATGTGCGACGTGATTTGTTTACATTTGGATACGCATCGAGCAGATATGAATGTATGAGAGAAAATCATAGAGCATTGTGTTTAAAAACAGTAAAATCGCCCTCTGTGGCCTAATCTGTTAAGACACGCCAGGCTATATGACGGTTACGTATAGATTACATGTTCGATTCCTGTCGGAAGACGCATATTTTCCCGGAAATTCAGGTCGTTAAATGTTGTTAATACTGTTTATTAAAAACAGAGCATTTACTTAAACATTTGCATCTACAAAAAGAACGTATAACATAAAAAATGTCTTTAAAAATTAATTGTCGGACTTTATTTCACAATATCTCTCTCTCTCTCTCTCTCTCTATATATATATATATATATATATATATAAAATAAATGCGGAAAGAGTTTTCTGTCAACGTGTTTCGTTCCTTGTGGAACTTTATCTAGGTAATTTGTTTTTTTTTCACTAAATTCACAGAAGATAAATAGTTGTGTATTTTCGTGTATATGTGTATGCGTGTGTGTGTGAGATTGCGTGTTTTTGATTTTAGAAGTTATAATTGTTTGCCATGATTTCCTCCCTATCGTTTGTTTTGTCTAGTTGTAAAATGTGAAAATCATTTACACTACTCAATCTTGTGGTTAGCAACGAATCGATGGAATTAAAAATGGTTGGAGTTGAAAACTTCACTGGGTAAAACCCACTTGCTATAAAAACCACACCTGCAGCACCTAGGTTGCTTACACATCAGCGATGTACTCTGCAAGGGAGTCAAATAACACTAATAATTAGGAAGAGCTATTTGGCCGTGTCCGATGTTCAATATGTAATTGCCTCAGCCACAATGGAAACTGCACACATCAGTTTGATCAAAGGAGTACGTATGAGTCTCCAAAATTATTTTGTATTAACTAAATAAAATAAATTATCCTATGCTCTGTTTGACATGTATCAATCTATATTGATACTTAACTCTATACGTATCTACGACATCGAACCAGAAATCGAATTCCGTATCGATATTGATTTTTTTCTTCATTTCTTCCTTACTTTCTTGTTTCCTCTCTCTTCTCTCTCTCTCTCTCTCTCTCTCTCTCTCTGTTTTTCGCGGGCTGCGCTTAAGGATGGGCCAATCAACTTCTTGCTCGGCATCTTCCTCCCGAGTGCAACTGACATATTCGAATTCCTTACCTACCTGATCCTACGAATGCGTCATTGTCATTATAAGAACTTCAGGATTTGTCAGATTCGACCTCACCAGTCAATGATAGCGATACTTCGATGTGAGATGAAAAGGTGGGGCGTAATTGAAACTACCTACGCTTCTAAGCTGTTGGGTAAATCCTATACCGACAACGTAGAAGGAACTAAGATCATAGTGACATTAAAAGTGGGTTAACAGTGATCAGGTAATCAAAATTACAGCGTACAATAAATAGAGATATATAAGATAACCGTTTGAACATAGCATCGTTGCTATTTCAAATTCTAAGGCTTTTTAAATCATTTCACGCCAAGCAAGGTAACAGCGCACGTAATACGCAAGAACGTATTGTGCGTGAGAGGATATAAGAAAAAGAAAAGTTTATTAATAAGAGTGAGTAATAAAATAAGAGGAATTAAGAGGAAAGAAGATAACGATTAAAATTGCATTTAAATGTTTGAAGATCAAAATTGACTGGAAAGCAAGGAACCTGAAAAGCGAGAAGCTGGTGAGAAGAAGCTATTAGCATAGAACTTACGGTTACATCTAGATATTTCGAATGTAAGGAGATACGAATTGTGGCCAATCTAGTAGCACGCTTGAATTCATAAAGTCTAGGTCACAAAGAGGAAAGCTTTTCAGAACAATTACCATGAAAATATTTATCGAAACGACACAGAGATGCTCCCTTATGGTGGTGGGAAAGTTCTAGATGCCCAGTTAGAACCAATAATTGTAAATGCATATGAGACCGACCCGTCCGGCTTGCTTCCTTATTTTGTTAAACATTAATTCACAGTAAGTTTTATTAGCTATTTAATAAGAATTGTGGTGAATTCAGTGTTTATTAAGTACACTTCAGTTGTGAAGAGCAGCTAAGGTGATGGGAGATTTTTTTTTATATTATTTTTACAACTTTTAATTTATTCGTCTTTAATTTAAACTCTCGTTCTCATGTCGTAATTAAATTGATATATTAACCTAAGTACTCGAGCCCTGTTCTTACAAGTGCCGCTGCATTTCCAGTATCTCGTACGGATGTTATAAATGGTGTACTTCTTGTTCAGAATGTCTAAACCAGTGATTTTCAACCGCCGTACACTAGTGTAACGCGCGATCCTGTTAAGTCTGTAGCGAAATATTGTCACGGCATACATAAAGTGATTTTCCAAGTAAGGAGCACTCAGTGAGGATCGAACTCACTACTCAGTCGTAATTGTTCTAGTGAGACACGCTTGCTAACCATTGCACCACCAACGACATAAATGTGTATTTATGTATGTGTGTGTGGAAGTAGTATTGGTACAGCGTTAGTATTTGAATAAATGAATAAGTCTTAAACATTTTTACAAATAATTATTTTCATTATGCATCGATTGTTCTTTTAAATACTTTGTTTTAATATACACTTTTAAAAAGTATGTTTATTTAATTTGAGTCTTAAAATGTCCTTTATTTGAATAAATAAATATTAAACATTTATTCAATATAATATATTGTGTATCTGCTTATCGCACATTTGACGAAAATTGAAGGAATTGCGAGAAACATCAAGCGCGGGTTTCACACGAAATAAGCACTGTGTTTCGTCAATATATGCTTCGCGTCGACTTTCAGGACCGAATGTGTCGCGATTCGGATGAGGAGTGCGCCTTCTGGAAGGAAGATGCCCGAAAGAACTTCCCATCCCTGAGAAGTGTGAACTCGAGCAAGGTGAAGCCCCACCGCTTATCCCGAGCCGAATGCTCCTTCTACCGCGAATGTCGTTGTGCTCTGAAACGCCTCTTATCGGCGTCGGGTGGTCTCTACAACGTCCTGGCGTTGTCTCGTAAGGCATTGTATCAAGTGTTAGTCAGGGGATCCGTTCGTGATGATCTGATTGACGAGCTCAATCTTACGAAGCAGGAGGCTCGCTCAATATGGCCTTAGGCGGTCCGTATTGAAATGTCTCAATAACAATGAGGCATCACTCACCAGGCTGATGATTCGTGAGGCCCTTTGGGTCGCCAAAAACTTCATTTAGCCGGATTGGAAAAATCTCCAAACTGCCGACGCTGTTGTGGAGAAGTCGAGACCATTGGTCACGCCCTATTTCATTACAGGGTGGTAACGCCGTTGTACAGGTTTGTTGAAGGTCCCATGGTCCGCATTTTGTCCTTGAGGTCTGATCTGTTTGTAGCAATGTAGTGCCGCCGATGACGAAGGCTGAACACTATGTGTTCTTATGCTTACTAGGTTTTATGAGAGTCGTGATTTAGAAGACACGTCAGAAGGAATTCTATGAAGGCGAGAAGTTCACTTCTTCTCAACTGATCTTGTTCTTTAAGCATCAGCTTGAAGTCAAGATTAGAACGGAAAAGCGGCGGCCCACTTCATCAGAATTTGGCAAAAGGTGGGTGAATCTTGCGCGTTTGTGTCGAGTAAAAGGAGCTGACTTAGAGTGGCATTTTGATGCTGGTTAGTCATCAGGATATTGTTTTTCCTGGGTTGAACTTTTGCAACCCATCCTGAAATTAGGATAGTTTAGGTTTTCTTTTTGAATATTTAGTTGTTTTTTTTACAGTTAACTTAGCTATAGTGTGTACCCTCATTGGCCCTTTTTATTTCTGTCCCTATTTTTCTTTAGTTTAATTCCCCATTCCTCGTTAGGAGGTCAGTGATGTCAGTTGTCTGGTGGATGCGGGGCGCCTTTCGTTTTCGCGTATATGTTTTTCGTATTTGTTGTTGTCACTGAATGAGTGCGTGTCAGTGTGAGAGCTTGGGATGTATGAATATTTTTATATTATTATAGTCCCGCATTAATTTCGTCCAGTTAACTGATGTTCTGCCACATTTAAGGATTGTAGGGGTTTTATTACTAACTTTATTTTATTTAGTTTCATGTAAATAATTTATATTCATATTGTAGATATTCATTGGGGCTAGTTTTTAAATTTTTGTTTTATTCCACCTCCACAAAGACAGTGAATTGTACATATGGGGTATATTTAGGGGTTTTATAGAGACAATGAAGTAATATGGTGGATGTAATAAGAAAGGTAAGTAATAATGCGTTGTTTTGGTGTTAGGAATATTGTTGATATGTCTGGGTCAGTGTTCATGGCTAGCTAAGTTTAAAATTAAGACAGATGAGGACCTACCTTTTTCCCCACCCACTTCTTTGGCGTTGTGCGACATTTTGTATTTTATTAATTAAATATTGCAGTTGGAGATTCGTCTGTGTTGGTAAAACACTCTGCCTCCGACCAGAGAGGATGCCCAGACGAGGCAGAAACAGATACTCGACCCCGTTTTGTACGTTGTCTACGGGGAATTTTTGGCCGAGCCTACACGATCGGATAACCCACATTAAATTCGGCCTTCTTTTCTAGCAGTTGACTCCTACTTTTACGCGCCGCTGGCGAATCTTATATGTGTTGTTGTTTTCGTAAGTATTATTGTTCATTACTTACCATCATTTGATTATTCGATTCAGTAACCTTCCTTAGATTACATCAGGTATATTTCATAACATTTAAATGTATACCCGTTAAAAATTGATAAGTGTTCCGTGATATTTTCATTTGGTCCTAGTCGCGTCGTTGCTTAAAAAGGCTGAGAAACACCGGTCTAACGCCTTGAGAACACATGGTACAGTGGATAAAGGCGCACACTCCCTATCGCCTATGTGGACTGACTATATTACTAGCTATATATAGTGAGCACAGTATATATCTGGGGCTTGCTTCGGGAATTACTAGCCTCCAACCGGATTCCCTGTTTTTCAGTAGGATATTCTATTTTAGAATAAACCACTCTTCTAACATCTACGCGCGTGTTGCTCTCGAGTACCACCTTTGTCTGTAACCTCTTTAAGGATACATGGTTCATACCTTTCCCAAGGGTAGTTGCATATAAGTAATTGTAACGAACCCAACTGGAATATGAAATTGGATTTACAATTAAGAATTCGGAGCTCTTAATCATTAGAACTCCTGCACATCCAAACTTACATTACCTGATATTCACAAGCGGACATGCATCTCGCCACTAAGCAGGCTCGAAGTTGCTTAACTTCGGTGACTGTACGGGAATTGGTGTTTCAAAATGATATAATCATAAGCCATGGACATTTGAATGTAAATGTTACATAGAGCAGTGATAGCATCTAGCCTAAAGCCCACCATAAAAATTCAGTATGTGGAATTATACCCTTGTGCAAATTAATTGAAACATCCAGTTTAGTTTCTTTTCTTTCATCATAAGGTCAGTTTTATGCCAACTTCATTAGTTCATTTGGAGTGGTGTGGAGTAATATGAATCTATTTCCGGGGTGTATGATGGAATTTGTTTGGCCTTGAAAAATATTGCGTCATCCGTGATTGAATTGGATTTTCATCACGTCCAGACACTATTGTCTCGATTGTCGATTAGTTGTCCTACGAACATTGTCTGCGATGGACATGACGCCAAGGAAGCATATGAAAATTGTAACTCTAAATGAAAACACTGGCAAGTTTTACAGGCAATGAGCAAATTAAACTACTATAGACCGGCCCGTAAACTATCCTGAATTAAATCCAATCGAGAACCTGTGGTCACTCTGCCAGAAACGACTTCGTGGAATGGACAAACGAAGGACTCATATGTGCACTGGGTCATGTTTCATTTGAAAAGTACGACAAAAATGTAAATAATAACGGAATTATTTGTTATGTTTCAATTAATTTGCACAAGGGTGTAATTAATACCAAACACTTCGGTGTTTGAATCAGTTATAACAAATTTTGTATCGGAAAAAAATGAAATTGAACATAAAATAGGCTGCGATACAAGTACTTTCGCCCGTTATTCTAACAAATCTAATATATTTGCTATAAAATGTAATATAATTTCTATAAAACAAAAGCACTGAACTGAAAACTCGCGCAAGGCTCTTAAAAAGACTCGTAAGGTCGAGAATGTCATATGGATATCATACATGGCGCCAAACACATTAAGAAATATGTAAGTGTAACATGTATACTGTTGCGTAATTTAAGTATATTAAATTACAACAGACAGAAAGAAGAAAAGATGAAGTCGTTGCTTGTTTTGACG